TTTCGTGTAATCGAGCGATGTGGTGACAAGCAGTAGAAAAACGACGTCTCATCCATGTTGTAGATGTCGGCGGGCTCGTATCCAGTCGTGATGGTCTGCATTTCGGCACGCCCTGCTTCCACTGTCTCTGGTGGCGTCGATCCAGCTTCGCCGTGTTGCAGCTTGCTGGTAAGCCCATGTTTTCGCTGAAACTTGTACAGCCAACCCTTTGAAAACGAGTGACGTTGATCGGCAGGAACTTCCATGGTCGCACAAAAAGCGAGCGCCTGCTTACGGATGAGCTCACCGGTGAGACAAACCCCGAGTTCTTCGCATCGAAGGACCCACGCCACGAGCGCCTCCTCGACATCGGGTAGGCTGGATCGGCGATTGTTTGTTCGGTCTTTGCTGTCGGCTCGATCACATTGCGTCGCGTGGTGCTTGAGGGTATTTCCGATGGTAGATATGGATGGCGTGGTCGCAAGATTGAACTCATGAGCAGCCCATATAGCCAAGTTGGAGTAGGAGGTGGTAGGATTGTTTAAGTGCTCTAAATACAGAGCATGCTTGTCCACTAGCGACATCTTTTTCATCTTTGTAAATGAAGTCATGCATTTCAATGCCAAACAATTTAAGAGTTTGAATTTTGAAAAGTCTTCACCTTCTGATAATATAAAGTTTCAAAAATTATAAAGTTTACCCCGTTTCGTTTAAGGGGGGAGATCAGTACTAAAATCCTGGGGACCTTGCATTCACAATAGCAACCCAGGCAGCCAATGGCAAAGCTTCTGTAGCCTTTTCTGTAAGAGCCAATCAAATCCACGCCGTGTCCTCACGGTTCATGTCCTCACCTCGTCAGAGACTTCTCTAAAAACCAACATACGACATTTGGTCTTTGTATTGAAAATGAAGAGTCCTCTACCAATGAAAGGTACGAAGTATTGAACTTTTAACCAATAAGACTAATGTCGGATAGAATTGTCGTATTCGCCAAGTTATCCATACATATATTGGATAAAGTATCGAGGTTTGCATGCATGATTGCTGGTTCTGAACCCTAACATTTGTGTTTAAAAGGTACTTCTATACATGATACCTGTTCAAATCGTATAAACCTTTATAAAATGGTAATCGTATGTTGTTGAAATAGGTTGAACCTTACACGACAAAAAGCACGCGTGAAAACACTTTTTCTTCTTTTTTCTCCTATCCAGCTCGCTTCCGTCGTGTCGACAGACCCTTGACCAATGGGACCCAGTGTGCCTTCCAAGGATGTACTTGCTGTGTGATGGATTAAGTAAGACCAATGCGCATGCCTAAATAGTTTTCAAAGTACCGCTTAGAGCTGTACCGGTTTTCATCTGAATTCACTGACATTTCCTACATACTAGTATTTACAGTGTTAAAACTCGCGAAAGATGCCTAGCATTCAATATGGTGGACGACGGCGCAGTTTCTCCGCCAAATTGGACCAATTTGATTACAGAGTGAGTACATAACACGGTGTTCGAGAGTGTTGGTTTGAAATCGTCACAGGTCGCGCGAATGAGGGTCTCACTCAGGGTAGGTAGGTAGGTCATGGTCTGTCATTTTCTTGATGTCAACATGGAACCCCTCGCCTTGGAGCTGTACCACGACGCGGTTCTCCACTGGCCGGCTCAAGGCCAAGTGATCCTGGCGCAGCACTCGTCCTCCCACATCGTCGTGTACCAAGCGTACAATGCGGCCATCGCTAACGCGCTCGTGACAGCCCAGAACTACCACTACCCGGTAGTGGCCGCCGCCGGATTCATCCCAACTCGAATGACTTGGATCAAGCCGAACTTTCTATGGATGATGTACCGGTCGTCGTGGGCCCAAGCTCGTAACCAAGAGCGCATCGTCGCCGTGACGCTCCTACGGGACAAGTTCGATGCCGTGGTGCGCGATGGCGTGCTGAGTTCATTCGACGCGATCTCGTCTACGCGATCCGAGTGGCAGGACCAAGTGGCGCACTCGAACGTCCGCATTCAGTGGGACCCGGACCATCTCCCCGACGGCCGCAAACACGCTGCCCGACGTGCTATTCAAATTGGGTTGCGGCGGGAGGCGTTGATGGCCTTGTCCCACAACGCCGTGGTGGACATGGTCGATATAACGGCGTTTGTTACCAGGCAACGTCAGGGCAGCCAAGACGGAGCGGCGTGGCTGGCGTCCCTCGTCGTGCCAGTTGAGCGAGAGTATTTTTTGGGGCATAGCGACACGACGTAGGCGGTTGGCTAACTCCCAGTAGTTACTGGTGGTGCCTACCTGTAGATGGCCAGTTTATGGTGCACGGGACAGTTTAAGGTGCACTCAAAATGGCCAATGGAATTGCTTAAGTTTTGGAATAGCCAATCGAATCACTAGAAAAATGAGATCACAAAAAAATAAGCAAAAACAGCATACATATTTTAAGCTTAAACCGTGCACCATAAACCGTCCCACCGATTTTGCCTTGATTTCAGTGGAAATCGAAGTAAATGAACGCTAAGATGAAGTGATTCAAGCCGATTAAATAAGCTGAAGAATGCCCAACCTTTCGGCTTCACGCAGCACTTCTCAGAATTGAAATCACGGTCCTGAGAGACGAATAAGGGGCATTCTACGACGAGGTCTCTTTGCACCATAAATTGGCCATTTACGTTAGATGATTTCTACATCTACAGCGTTCAAAGTCTGGCCTCGAGCATTCATGGACTTATTTATGGAATTCGTAGGGAGATTGCCTACGATTTCATATTCAACCAATGAAAACACTCGTGTACAGTGATTGGATAATTCAATCACAAATCCGTGCTCATCACGAAACACTATTGAGGATAGTCCTTGGCAATGCAGGCTGCATGATACGAGTGCAATTATGCGTCGATGGAATATCATAGTCATGTACTACGGTAGTAGTTTCGACATCAACGTTGACTGTAGTAAGCGTCCATTCCGTCACTACGACCTTGCCCGCTTGAAAGGCATCAGCTACCGTCGGACGACTCCAACGTGCCTCTGCATGGAGTAATGTAATGCCATACATACTACATACTAGTACGTCAAGGTCCTCAAAGGTAAACATCCAACCACGTGATATTAACGGCACTCCTGAAGTAGATTTATGCACTTGTGTGCACTTGAATTGGAGAAATGTAGATAGGCCATTGACCCGTAAATAGTTCAATACTTGCTTCATAACAGAGATATACTTACTTCTCTTGTGTGCTTATGGCCCACATACTATTAATAGTAAGAATTTCCATAAAGTCTTGATATTCGCAAACGCGTCCAGCTCGACTATCAACATATCACTATAACTCTTCCATAACGATCGCTCCTTCCTACTACGTAATAATACAACGCAGCACAACTTGCGCACTGCTAACGTGACATACCTAGTGCTATCAATGGCATTACCATTAGGACGCCTCACATTCCCTTTTGGCATGTGACGTGTACGATAGAGGAGGATTGGCAATTTGTGATTTTCTTGAGATCTCATTGGATATGAAAATCGTAGGACCAGCTCCCTACGATTTCGTCAATTCACAAATGAACTGCGAAATTTTATGTTTGCCACAAATTCGTATATAACTTGAAAAAAAAACGAGGTGGAGGATTTCGAAATGGCGAAATCGTAGGGGTGTGCGCCTACGATTGCATACAAAAGTCAAGTTCTGGCCTAGGAATTCCGTAGAATGGAAAATAATAATTAAGGCATGGTTATTAAATATTTCTGGTCAATTCGAGACAACTAGGTACATGACCAACCGGAACCATGAAAGCTCGTTCGGCGTGCCATTTAGTCGATTGGTTGCTATTATCGGGAAGCAGTCGATGGTTTTGGAAATGACTGAGGCGTTTCCAAAAACATTAACTGGTACGTCATTGATTACCACCAAATAAAATGATCATCCAATCATTTAGCGCGTACTATGCGATTGCCCAATGACTACTCTTCTGACAACTAAACGAATCATTGACCAGTCATTTTCATGAATCCAATAGCACATGATAATTCTACGAAAGTATCCGCACATTTGACATTGTGTTAATCATTAGTCAGGAGGTCTATTGGTCCAAACCGGTACAGCTCGAACCGGAGAAATCATAGGTACTAACTGAAGCGGGGGGCGGGGTATACGGTAGTACTGGCCAACAAACATGTTATGCATGTTGATTGGTACTTACTTGTACATATATCTATTCCGGTGCTTAAAACCCCTGAAAGCAGCCGTCGTACGCGGGCATCTTGTTGTCCAACGCTAGGCCGTCCGTGCGTTCCCAGATTCGTGGGAGCGTTAGGGGGGTCACATCCTTGACTGCCCCGTCGTCGTCGTCGTCACCTCCCCCTGCCACGGAACACCGCGGTCGAAACCTCTGTTGCCACTCGGGCATGGTATCGTCATCCCCCCATGTTAGGGGCATCGCGCTTCCCGGGCGTTCGCCGGCCAGGGGCGGCGACTGGCGCACGTCAAAATCCCAAAAGGCCACCATAAACGTCACCCGTCGTGGGGGTGTCAACCGTCCTACGTCCGCGTCGTCGCCCCCTTTTCGTCCTGGCACGACCCCATGCAGCACTTTGCCGTTAAATACGACGAACCTGTTTTCGTGGGGGTGCACGAGCCACCCGTTTCGCCCGAGTTTTGGAAACCCAAAGCGCTGGTCAGTGACCACCGTGGGACCCCCGCACGGCGCTTCCAGGAATGTGACAGTGGACACGATCGGGTTGCGCACGCCGCCGCGGCCTTCGTCTGCGCTGTCAAAGTGGAACTGATGGCCGGAATCATGGGGCCGGCAGTGCGTCCACCACTCGGCGAACTTGGCGCGCGACACCCCCGGAAACCGCTGGATCGCCAGGTGCTTGAGATAATGCACGACGTCGTCGAGACCCGACACGCGGGGCTGCGATAGGTCGTGGACGTAGCTAAAGTACGGCGACGGTGGGTCCACAGAGTACTCGTGCGCGCGCCAGAACGGCGAGTCTGACGACGACAACGCATGCTGCATGAACGCGAGCATGGCTGACGGCAACGCGTTGTCGGCGGCACACACGAAGGGCCGAGGGTCCACCGCAGGACCAGTGTCCGACATGAGTGGTGGAGGGACAACGGCACCTGCAAAGGGGTACTGTAGGACGGACGACGCCAGCCGATGCGTGTACCCTCTGGCTCGAAGGAACCGGTCGGCTTCGACGATTTGGCCGTCCTGGATCAACAGTAGCGCATACTTTTGGGCGGCGAGGTACTGCTCGTCAGTCTCGTCGGTCGGGGCAGCGTCTGGTGGAGGTAGGAACTTGGGTGCAAACGTGCTGCTGCTGGTCATGACAGGTTGGCAGGTGTTGGTGCCTTTGGTTGGGCAAAGACACGCTTCAACTTCACTGAATGGGGCAAATACCGTGTCAGCCAATCAGACATTAGTATTCTATGCTGTGAAAAACGAAAACTTATTAAAATAATATTCCTAAAACGGATTTAAGATGGTCTTATAGTGTAGCGGTTATCACGTCTCCTTGACGTGGAGGAGAAGGTCCCCGGTTCAAGTCCGGGTATGACCAAGCTTTTTTCACGATTATGTTCCTGATTTGTTACCTACTACTAGTACAGTACTCCGTACTATTAATAGGGACAACGAAGACATGCTTATGATTTATGACTATTTTAATAGTCATAAATCATACTATTAAATAGTATGATGCATGCTACAGCAAGGTAGTGTTCTGTTTTTCTTATCAAAGCAGCATCGATCCCACAACATTTAAACCCAGTACTGTAACGTTAGTTTTTAACTACGCGTGGGTTACTCAAAGTAATCGCGGAGGAGTTCGATGAATTCCGGTAGCTCGAGCGACGCATTGGCATTTGTGTCGTACTGGGCAAAAAGCCGTTCAATGTCTTGGACAGTCACACGGCCGACGTTGTTGTTGCCGCCGTATTCGTGACGCCCAGCGTAAAACGTTTCATTGGCTTTTAAGCCTTGCAGCAGCTCGCCTGGCTCGATCGTTCCGCTCTGGTCTTTGTCAAAGATCTATACATTCCACATTATTGGATTCATAATTCACAACATATGTTTGTGATATATTTTTTCCAGTAGATTACGCGAAACAATTGGGTGAGGTCGTCGATCGCGCCTTTGGTCAGCTCTCGTTGCTTGGGCTTTGCTGCAAACGCAGCATTCAAGGCTAATCTTGAGTACGCCATCATGTCTTCTCGCACACGGGCGTTGGCTTTGGGAAACACGGCCTAGTCGTCAATGTGGAGATCTGTAGTGAATTTCAAAGAAGATGCCAATAAATTATACAAGGGTGGATATCATCACACCCCAATTTCTGCCCAATTCATATTTCGAAAATTTGGCTCAAAGTAATTCGAAGAATTTGGTTGTCACCTATTTTGTACTGACTGGATCAAACTGATTTTCCTTGAAACTCTACTTTCAAGGAAAATAAAGTCCCTTGAACCTCTTTTCTATCTTCGGTAAAAAAACTGATATTTGGCAAAATACTGAATTCTCCAAAATTTAGATCCAGACAGATACTTCAAAGAAATATTTTACTTTTTGCCGATTTGTTAGAAATTGACCAAAACGTTGAAGATTTTGGCCTTTACTTGACATCCAGACTCACCCTAAACCTTCTATTTTATTTTAGACTTCGAAGTATATATATATTATATATATCTTGTGTTTTTATACATATTAGTATTCTGTCAAATAACATTTGAACGGCATCTATACACTTCAAGTATATTTTTTTGTTGTCCCTACCCATCAAGGTAGTATTCAGACATACCTTGAGCATTTCAACCATATCCAGCGACCCATTGTGGTCGTGGTCCATGCGGTCGAACAAACTACACCGACGATAATACTATTATGAATAATTTGCTGTTAAAGTGATATATATATATATATGTACATTTCAAGGTCGTCTTTCATTTCGGGGCCTTGGGCCTGGATCAATCGCTGCACAAACTCCTTCGTTTCAATGGATCCGCTGTTGTCGACGTCCGTGTCGACAAACAACTTGCAAACTTCGTACACACTGTCCTTGGCATACGGTCCTACTCATCGTAACATATTTACAACATCCTAGTAGTATATAACAACCCCAAACGATAACATTATAACATTACAACACCGATCATCCCATTCATAATACGTAGTTTATGTATAGCAAAAGTACTTTCTGAAGTACTGCGTAGCAGTAGTATGATATATAACTCATTGAGAATACTATATATAAAACAACCTCGTTATAAATGTTATAACATTAATCAAATCCAAGAAACAAAAACAACAATTAGTACTAAAAAAAAAAATAAATCATGATGAAAATTAATAATACCCTCCATAACAGGTGTAGCGGGATCTTGAAAGCCCATTTGCCAAGGCACTGCTGCATCAAATAAAATTATTTGATTTTCTTAATAATATTTTTTAAGAATTAAAAATAAGAAAAAAATTTATATTTACGATTCATAACATACTTTATACTGTACAACGTGAAATCGTCATAACATCCTACCCTATCATCGCTCATCCCATTCATAACATGCACAGCAAACACAAAATTCTAACAAGTTCCTCAACATACCAAAAGTCTGTCGGATGAGCAATGCTTGGTCAGATTGGACTTGGTCTTTGGTCGTGTCCATCATTCCGACGCCTTTGATTGGTCGACTTTTCCTGTCCGGTACCATAGCTTTATTGTGCACCAACTTGGTCGACATGTCGGTGGACTCGATTCGTGCCATTTTCGACGAATTTTTCATTCCACTCTGTTTCTTCGATGTTTTTTTGCCGAGATTTTCGTCATTTATCAGCTTTGTATAGCGTTGCAGCACGGACGACTGACGTTTCTCATGCACTGGAGCTACTTTCAAAGGTGTTTGGCTGGCTAAATTTGCCGTGTTGACCCCGCTGATTGGGCCGTTCGTGGCCTAAACATCATATAATTTTTTAGCGTTAATTGACGAATTTGAGCACGGTAAACACGGATCTACATACGTGCTGAATGATGCGCTCAATCTCGTCCATGTGTTGGTTTTGAGGAATTTTGTCGGGCGGGTACTTCGGCGCACTTAGTTGTTTTCGCGGCGGAGAAGTCGTTCTGGCTGTCGTGTGCCGTACTATCAGTTCAAGTGGTTAATGCATATTACGAGCAAATTGATTAACTTACAAGCTGGCAGCGAAGGCGACGGCGTTAACCCGTCTACTCGTCGGAGAGCTTTGGTACTTGATTGGTGTTGGAGAGCTTTGGGCTTGCGATAAGTTGCTTTGTCAGGACCCAGTTTTTGCAATAGAAATGCCGACGGGGCGACGTCGATGGCTTCGAGCATGAGTTTTGGCTGTCGTTTGCCTTGTAATTGTCTATATTATATTGTCAAATCGATTCGAAACTGGACGTAGCAGAATAATCCAAATGTCTTTCGCGAATGGATTCTAGACCCGCCTAAGCCAATCAAATCTCGTTCTTCGTCGAATTTCTGCCAATCCAAACGATTAATTGGGCAAAACAGGACAACTAAATTATGCATAGTCTACTTTGTACTTCGAAGTTCAAGATTAAAAAACGATCAAATGAATTTGGTGAAATGACTCCAACAGTCCAAATTTGGGTATGAAAAGCACAATATAATTATATAATCAAGTAATACGTGGGAACGTTATTGGTGGGGTCGTACTTGGCAGTGCGGCAGGTCTCTGTGTACAAGTGGTTGTAAATCATTTTCTGTCGATTTTTGCTATCGATTTTCCAATTGTCCTTGTCGTCATATGGCACTTGAGATAATTGCGTCGAGTTGAGCTGGGGCAGTGCCGTGAGGGTCGATTTGGCAGTGTCGCTCCAGTTGTCTTGGTCCAGCGACTATTCGATACATGATTTTTCACTTGACATTTCTACACTAAATCAATAGCACCATAGTAACAAGGTATGTACCTCCATGAACGAGCTAGACGGGATCGAAGGAATTACAGGAGACGAGAGTAATATATCCGACGGCTTGGGCTTAAAAATCTTTTCCATTCGGCCTTGATACTTGGCCGCTTCCACCTCCCACGCTCGTTCCTAATTTCGATAAGAATATATGTTATATACTAGTAGTATTTATTTCAAAACGACCACTTATCGCCAATTTAACGACCCCTCCTATCACATGTTTCTATGGATGTTGTTTATTCGATATTAGAGAATCGGGGGTTTGAGTATTTAGCCAATCAGATGACAGGAGAACAATCAGTTACTGTGTGACTTAAAGAAGTGCAATAAATGTAGACATGACAATATTTACATACAAACTTCAGTACCAAAAATCGATCGATGGATTTGACGAATCAGCACACCAGTCCAATATTTGGGTAAAAGGACAATATCTTGGCTTGTGGTATACCCGTGCGAGTTGAATTTCCGGCTTTTTATATGTCATTTCCCCTCTTAATTGGCCAAACAGTCGATCCTTTTCCGTCGGTGGCTCTGGTTGTGTGTCGATGCAAGGCGGCTCTACTAAGTTTATCACGGCTTGATTCTTCCTCCTATTTTTTGCCCTACTCGCATACTAACATATAGTGGTATTTACATATATATATTATATTTCCATGTACATATATATATATATATATACTATTTTTCCATTTACATATATATATATATTATATTGCCCTGAATACCCGAAACCCCTTCAAACCTACCGATGGGACAAAGTAGTAGGGGTGGTGGTTGGAGTTTGCAATGTCGTTAACTGAAGGTGGTCCTTCAAGCGGCCCCACAGGGCTTGGGCAAAGTGCAGTTTGCGCTCCGAGACGCTGTCCGTGTCCACGGCCAAGTGCCAGAACGGACCCTCCTTGTCCCCACACAGAACGCCCAGACATTCGCCACCGTATGCCCACACTTTGGTACTTTTGTCAAACGAGCACGTGAAAATGACCTGGGGAGACTCTGCGACCACACACATGCTTCGGATGCCCATCAAGTGCGCCTTCCACTCGGCCACAACTTCGATCAAGTGGGCACCAGCATGGCTCAACTGGGGTGTTTCTATGGAGAATGGATTAAAGGACCTCGTGAGCCAATCAAATCACTTAGTCAAGTCGAATTTCTGCCAATCCAAACGTTTGACCCCTCCACATTGTTGGGCAAACCCACATATATAATAGTACTCATCGTTATGTACTAAGTATAGTGTTGTGTACAAGCTTAAATATGGATCAAATAGATTCGAAACCTATTTGGCGAAATGACTCTCTCAAGACCTTGCTGGTGGGTTGGTGGTAGTTGGTGGAGATGGCGATCGAGACGAGCAGCGTTGTGGCCTTCTCGATGGATGCGCCGTCGTGGATTGTACGAGTCTTGGCTGCTCGGCAGCGTTTGCTCCACAGTTGCGGCGACCCTCCCCGCTTCAAACACCTAGATATTGCCATGTCGATTTGAACATTGGAGCGTTCAATCGATTATGAGCAGAATCACCAAAATCGGAAGAAAATCGATTGACCACCAATTCAACATCGAATTCGTATGTGATTGAAAACAGGACGACCTTTACATACAAAGGTCAGTATTGTCGATTTGATACAAATTTGGGGACGGGGTGCAATCGAATCACGCCGACGAAACCGATCCACAATCGATCGGATTGGTTGAATTTCATTCAGAAGATTTTGATTGGCTAATAATTTTGAGCTCATCTGAGGTAGCCAATCAAATCGATTTAAATTTCCAACGAGAAACCACGCCACAACACGAAATTTCACTCGAAAGCACAATGCAACGAATCGATCGACCATAAAAAATCAAATTTTGGGTAAAAGGACGATATATATATATTGTGAATTCGCTATAAACTTCCATTTGTCTAATCAATATTGAATCACTCTCAAGGTCTGATTGGTTGAATATACTTGTCCTTTCTGTTAGAGCCAATCGAATCACTCAAAATTGGATTAGCCAATAGCGTCGATTCGTGATTCGATTCGGCGGCGAGATTCGATTCGGTGGGGTCTGGAAATCTGTACCGAATCATCCACAATATAATTACGAACAAAGGTTGGCAAGACCAATCCACGTATAACAGTTAGATATTACATGGCTGAGGTTCCAGCACCGAAGCATGCCTGCTTGGTCGCCCCCGACCAGCACATGTCGTCCGGTCGTGATACCCTCTCGAACGACGTCGCCGCCACTCTCGTCATAATACGTTTGCAATACCACAATCGACGCTGGTCTATATAGTTTGGGGTGTATTAGATTTTCGGGGTTTCCATTAGTTGGTCAAGTAGTAACTGTTCGGGGTTTCGGTTAGTTGGTAGTAAATTTAGTAACGTACGACGAAAACGTAAAGAGGAGCTGTGGGATGGCAGCGGGGCGCACGGTAAACACATGCACATCGCCGTTCTCGTGACCAGATACGAGCACCGGAAATGGCTCGACAAACACGAGGCAGTTGACTTCGGACGTTGTGTGGTGCTGCTGCTCGAGTAAAAAGTACACAAAATCCCAGATTTTTATATGGCCGTCGTTGCTGCCTGTGGCCACGAGACTGAGCGAATGCGAATAGGCCAAACACTTGATATCGTTCTCGTGGGCATCTATACCATACGTTTGGGTACATGACAAGGAAAAACAGAAAAAACACCTAACCAGGTGGTCTTGGATACATCAAATTGGAGAATATATATTGCTGACAAGTCGAACGTCACTTTCACGAGTGGGATACGACACATGTACGAATACAAGTGACCATGGAAGGGTCCATATATTGTTTGATGGAGAAATATTTTATTGGGTACACAACACTGATATATTTGGCACCCAAGACGCCAACATCTATTAATTTGACAAGGGGGATACATTTAATAAAGGTGGGTCTGGATCACACCCCAATTTTGCCTACATATTAATATTTCGAAAAATTTGGTTCAAAGGACTTCCAAGAATTTGGTTGTCGTCTATTTTTGACAGTCTGGAACAAACTGATTTCGAAAGAAAATCTACGATTCTCAGGTATTGCCAACTTTCAGGGAAAAAAAAGTCCCTTGAATCTCCTTTTTAATTTTTGGCGAAAAATGCGATATTGGCACAAATTTAACTTCTCCAAGTTTTGAATCCAGACAGATAATTTTCCATTTATCGCCAAATTTCTTAGAAATTGCCAAAATATCGAAGATTTTGGCCTTTTTTTTGACATCCTAACCACATATTATTTTCTCTAATTACAAAACGAGCAAAGTGTCATATTTCAGTAATATACGATTCGAAACAGGCCTTTTTTCATGTTTTGGATACACAACACAAAGGAATATCATAATCACGTACCAGAAATACTGCGCAAGAGAGGATTATTTGTCGCCATGTCGTCGTACACACGAAGGGATTTGTCCCACGACGCGCTGAGGACACACGTGTCTTCTTTGCAGTAAACCAGACAACTGATTTGGTTCGAATGTCTCGGAAATGTCTTGAGCAACGCGCCATTCGCGGCATTCAACACAAACAGTTCGCCGCCCTATACAGCCATGAGGTCGTTACCTGGGTTTAACGACCATAGGTAGGGAGTACTTGGTTGGCGACGATGCATTTCCGTTGCAACGAGTCAAACACGACTTGGGTAATGTCACTTTTCGTGACGTTGCGAAACACATGCAACAACGCCCCCGTGAGCGCGTCCCACACTTGAATCTCTACAGTACAAAACTATATCAAGAACCCCGAAACCCCCGATTAACTACGTTAGTTGGTACCCTTGTCGGTGGATGTTAGCACAGTGAACGAACTGTCGTTGTACAGCACCGTGTTGGACGCAACGGATTTGGACTTGAGGCGCACTCGATGGACCCACTTGACACGGTAGCCACAGGCGATAATGGTTGCCCCGTTGTGAAACAACGTAAACGACGTTGGCTTCCACGGATACCTATACAAAACGCAAGTATAAACGCACTGCAAACCATCGTAGGGGGGTACTTACTGGTCGTTGCCAAACCGAAACGTTTGGAGGCACCGGTCGCAGTCGTCGGTCGAAATCAGGTTTTGCAAGTTCCACCACTTGAACCATCCTACAAATGCATGTTTTGGACGTGACACTTGCAATGTATTGAAATATATATATATATATATATAAATGCTAGTATATAAATACATATATATATGCTAGTATAAATTAATATATATATACTAGCATATATATAGTAATAGCATATATACATATAATTATACACTAGCATATATATATATATGTATATATATATAATATGTATATATATGTATATATATATGCTAGTGAATAATTATACGTATATATGCTATTACTGTAATAGTATATATGTATGTTTATATGCTAGTGTAGAAATATAAGTATATATCAGACAACGATACCATCTTCGTCCAAACTAATCGCTTGGTCAAACCCCGTCACAATTTGAATCGCCACGATGGGCGCCATGTGCCCCGTGAGTTGAAATATCGGCGCGATACTCAATCCGGATACGTCCCACCCCAACATGTCCATTTCAAACCCTGCATCGTTCCCAGTACACATATGGCGTTAAGCACCGTTTTGATTGCATCACCACGTAATTGTCCTACCTGCCGACACAAACACCGTCGACGAATGCTTGGCTAGGGTTCGTATGCCTCGCTTATGACCGGCCCGAGTGGATTTGCACTCCAACGTATTCGGATCCCAGATGTAAATGAGCGAATCCATGCTACACGACACGAGGGTGTCGTCGTTAACGAGTAACAAGCCTTGGACAATGTCTGAGTGTTTGTCCAATATGGCGGTGCACGCGACACAGCACTTTTTGTTCCCTTTCACGATCACCTATAAACACAAACATTGACATGTGGTTGTGCTGTGAACATATGAAATCGACATGTAAAGCCACAAAGTCGACACCTAAACCCACGAAGTCGACACGTAAACCCACAAAGTCGACACCTAAAATCACCAAGTCGATACCTAAAATCAACTCGACACATAAAATCCCACACCAAGTCGACACGTAAACCCACCAAGTCGACACCTAAAATCACCAACTCGGCGGCTAAAACACCAAGTCGACAGGTTGGGGTTGCGTTTATCTGGATGCCACCCCATAAAATTACACCATAAACCGTTTTATCAAATCTGCAAAAATTTCCCAAAGTCTCATATCCCACGAAAAAAAGGAGAAAAGAAATAATATCTACAAAGTTGTCTGGATGCCAGTTGAATTATGGAAAAATTATTCATTTCTGATTGAAGTAAGACTTGAACGTGAACACAAACCTCCATAAAAAAGTTTGGACCAAATCGGTCCATTTTCTTTATGCCATAAAACACCCGATCCTCAAGAAAATTGTGGCATAAAGTTTTGAACCTAGGTGGCATCCAGAGGGACAAAATCTCGGAAAATGGAATATTTCCATCTTTTCTTAGGGTACGTCTGGTAACATTTCAAAAATAATATTCATTTTCTCGCAAAATGGGATTAACCAAAATGTCACTTTCAAAATGGAGGTAAAAGGTCCATTTTGTAATGTGGCGTTTTGGACCTCTTCAACGAGTAAATCCCACGTGGAATTATTGGATTTGGGTTAAAACTCTGCAATAACGACATGGTTCAATTTTGATCAGATTTGTTGAATTCGGTCCCAAAATGGCGTTTGGGCCTGAATATTGCAATATTTCCGGTTACCAGGCGAACCCTTAAAAAACGGTCATTTTATGCCATGTTTTGCGGCATCCAGACTCGTCCTCAACACAAAATAGAGCACCCGCATCAGGCGGGACTTGACTTACCGTCCACACGAGAATGCGGTTGTCAATGGATACGGTAAATAGTCTAGAGGGTTTGGGGGCCCACTCGAGGATGCGCTGGGGGTGTTCAGTGGCCACGAGTTCCATGGGCGTCGGAATTTCCGACGTAAACATGATGGCGCAGTTCCAAAACGAGAGCTTCAAGTCCCCCGCCGACACGGCCAGAATGTCGAGCGTTGTCAAGTACTTGATGGCCTACAGTCGAATCAAATAATAAGGGTTCGTCTGGATACATTTCTAAATAATATTCCATTTTCTGGCAAAATGAGATAAACCAAAAATGCCATTTTCAAAATGGGGGTAAATGGTCCATTTTGTAATTTGGCGTTTTGGACCACCTCAAGGAGTAAATAAACCCCACTTGGAATTATTGGATTTGGGTTAAAATTCTGCAAGATGTTTCAATAGAATTCGGCCCCAAAATGGCGTTTTGGGCCAGAATATTGTAATATTCCAGGTTGCCAGACGGGCCCTAACATACATATGGCAAAAACCAACAGAAACGAACGCATTTACTTGCACGGGGCTGTGCTCAGAGCGGACGGCGTCCTGGTCGCGCCGGTACCCACTGGTGTAGGCGAGGGGATGTATTTCATGAGTCAGGGGCAAGCTGGTGGGTGCATTGCCGGGGTCATCCACGCTCGATTCCGCTGCTTCGGACGCTAAGATGGCGGTTGGGTCATAGATCTGTCGACGAAGTTATGTAGGAATCTCTTGACATGATGAACAATGTACATACCTGCATCACTGGTCGCGTGCCTTCAAACACAATCAGTTTGCGGATCTCGGAAATATACTCGACGTGCTTTGGCTGGCGACTCGTGCGATCGACAAACAGCACGTTGTCCTCGTACTTCATGTCTCGCCAGTGCGTTTCATCTAATCCAGTGGCCATGCCAGCTTCGATCAACGCCGACGTGAAGTCTTCCCACACCATCGTGCCTTGGCCCTAGAACGATATGTCACATTTTTGTTTTTCATGGACCGATGATACACTCGAGAAGGGGAGGGGCGTACGTTTATCACGATATGCCCAAACAAGTCGACGAGTTCGTACACTAGGTCCACCACCGTCGACGGTGTCCACACAAGGCGTTCCACCATTATCCGAACAAACGCTTCCAGGTCGAGACCATCGCGGCCGTAGCTTTCAAAGGCCGCCTTCACCCCCGCGAGGTCTTCTACGTGCAGCCGCATCATAATGTCGAGACATGACGTGGATTTGCGCATTCCGCCAACTGTAGATGGATGGATCCAGGGTGGAATGCGGCAACGGCAGAGTGTAACTGCTGCGAAACGGTCGAAACCAACTTTGTCCTTTTAGAATTTGGACTTTTGGGCTGATTCGCTAAATCTATCGATCGATTCTTTGTACTGAATTTTGTATAAATGTAACGATCGATACTTTGTACTGAATTTTTTATTATGTAAAAAGTTGTCCTGTGGTGATTATTACAATATTGCACGAATTAACTGTAAACATCAATTAGATTCTGATGATTGTTTCCTGCAGTTTGATTGGATAAAGACTTCTGCCGATACTACGTCTGTGCATTTGGTTGTGCCGATTTGATCTCCATGTCGCTCCAGTATATGAGAGTAAAACACAACAATATCAATATTTAACTGCAGTTGATTCTACAGGTGCACCACTCGAGTACATACTGAAGTAGTATGAACAGCGCTGCCAAAATTCTATATCCTTCCAGATTACTGTCAAGGTTTGTATGGAGATGTTGCTGTTGTTGCATGTATAGCAAGCGATTTTGGGACGCGCAGGTTGTTCACAACAACCTGAATTTGAAATGCGAGCTCCAAGTCCCCTTTAAGTATGTATGTCTCTTAGTAAAGGATCATTGTAAAGTCGGGAAATATACTGAGGCAATAAGGCGGCCAGTATGAATACTTCCGTTGATTATGTTTGCTCGTCGTCCGCTTGATTTGAGATAAGAACAACAATTTGGAGGTTATATTTCAATGGGTGTATTCTATCAAGGACTGGTATTCCATACCGTTAGTATTTATCCGAGTTGGTTTGGTACATATTCGTACGTTGTTGTACTACCACATGGGGCAGCTTCACGTCGGTCGTAAATACGAAGATAAATAGTGTTCGCGTTGTTCTCGTTATGCAGACTTGGTCAGGCGCTGGGTACTAGCACTCGACGCCATATTTCGAATCGCCAGTACTTGCCTTGTGGTCAGGAACATCTTGGCAGTCTTGACTTCGAGCACGGGCACGTCCGAGTAGTCGAGGACTGGCTCAAGCTCGCGCGGTTTCCGCCGAGAGCCCCGACGTATCCCTGCCGACGACCGATGATCCACTGACGACTCAGACATGATGTGGCTTGAGTGCTTGGTGCACCACCTGCAGTAAAACTGATTCGTTCCTATGTCTTCCACGGAGCAACTTCGACAGCAACACGCCTGGCAGGTCACGCACAAGTAGTGGCTTTGCCTTGACACTATTAAGCACAATGTACACTTGACTCGTAGCCGACGAAAGCGCCGGAACCATCGCTGGAGGCACGCGAAGAAGTGCATGACGCTCTTGGAGAATTATTCACACTGGCTTGTCATCACCGCCACCTTGACAGATGGGTTTTGTTGTACCTGATGCCATACTGTAAGATGCTACGGGCCAGTTAAATCCTGGCTTGGTCAAAATATCTCACCATACCAAGGAGCGTTTTCAGTCGCCACTTTTGAGCAGAGATAGCTCAAAACACCTCGTTCATTGAACAAACCCTTTGAAATATAATCTCCAATTTGTTCTTACCCTCACACTGTCAAATCAAGCGCGGAATCTCAAAATCGGAGGAAGACATTCATCCGGATATTCATCGATGTGACCGCACCATCCATCCATTTCAGGACCATATTACCGTTAGGTATGTACTCATTGACAGCCAAACCCTACTTCAGTGTGAGAAGAAGCTCCCAGTATATGTGAACGTCCCCCAAAATTTAATCGTATTCGTAATTTTGAGGGGGAATGCACAGAAGTACGGGTGGACTTGCTATTATCGTCCTCGTAGATAGCTTACACACTAGCGTCGTATTCCGTGACAGCTTAGGACGCTTCTACAACGGCGGGGGGTGAGATCGCTTGTGGGGGTACTGAAAGGGGGGCTTTGATGAGCTCTTTCCATGGCATTTAATCGTGCGTTGGTCGACTCTACTCTGCTCTGCGACGTGAGTTTGATAAGAATTGGTAATCACGACACACAAGTCTGACTTTAACTTGTTCGTGCGTTGGAGGTTGTATATCTCCACCGTGTAACTACCAGGTACAAGGACTTTGTGGTTTGTAACATGGATCTGGTGAGCAGTGGTGGTTTCGATGTGAGGGGGGAAGCTTTGACTAGAGTGAGGGGGGCAGCTTTGTCAAGCCATCCTTGGCATTACTCGGCGAGGGACGTCTGAAATGATTTCTTTGCGGGCAAGGACGTACGATTCTGTGTCTGATCTGGGCCCATGGCGATGGAAAAAGTGAAGCTTGCCTGTTGCATGAATCACACTTGTTGACTGACTGGTTCGACTTCACCTGGGATACTCGATGTCGACTGTTGTTTCCCAAACATGCGTCTGATGTACCATGATTGTGTGCGACCACACAATAGTAGAGTACTATTAAATAATGCTAATACTACTACGGTAACACGCCAAGTGAAAAGTCACGTGGCTACGTTGGTCCATAGAGACGCGAATATTCAACTACAGCTTGGGATCGACAATCGTCACTACAGTCCCACTTTCACGGTATGCGAAGTGGCAAGGGCAAGGTGTAGAGAATAGTCAGGCATTCAAGCCAAAGTACTAAGTTTTTCGAATACTCACAGACACAAAGCACAGAATGCAACCCCTTGTCGAGCGTTCCCTAAAATGTTGATAGATCATTGTAGGAGGTGTGTACAGTACTTTTGGGGATGGTCATACTATTTTGAGTTTGATTTGAGAAGGTGAGAATATTGGATTACTGTATACTATTAATAGTACCCCTTTTCATTGCTATTAATATAATAGTCCCGAGTACTAATACTCGGGAGTTGTCCGTGGGTTATTTCGAGAGTCATAGTGGAACGATTTCGCTAGCCACAACGTCCACACGAGGTAAGATGTGGACGATTGTGTTTGTCGATGTCAATTGGACGGTTGCAATTCGCAACATTATTGTTTATCAAGGTACTAGTACTACATTTGTAGTTGTGTTTTGTATCGACCCCATCAATTGGGGGTTGTCCCAGCTTGGCTCTTCAGGACAAAATGTAGCACTATGATGGGCCTCTCGTGTCATTGAAAGACCTACCGGTATCACAGACACTTGCATATGACGGCCAGCTACACCAAGGCGTTGTTCCTTCGTAAGCAAGGTTGAGTCATGATACCGTAAGAATATATACTACGTAGTACTAGTACTTCGAAGTATATATTGTACTGTAGCTGCACGGGATTGTGGCAAGTGATCACGGCTTAATTCTAAATGCAAAATAAACCAAAGTGTCCGTTCAATAATATCGTAAATAAAACACCGACAAATTTTCGTATGTGTAAATAGTACTAGTACGTATGTTATACAGTACTGTACTTCTACCACCAAGATTAATGTAATGACGTACTGTGGTAGCTTGGCCGATGGCCAGAATTTGTCTGGGCGAGAGAAGCATATTGGACGTTTAAATAACATCCATCAGTGGCAACTCAGCAAAGTATCGTAGCGCCATACTAGTATCTTCGTGGTCAGATCAAACAGTCGAAATCGCTTCTTCGTGCATGCACAGCACGGCGGACTGGCACGACAAACGGCTATCATTTGCTTGGCAGCGTGTGCAAAAGGGCTCGATGTCGTCGATGCGGAGGCAGCGCTGGCAGCAGTCAAGTCGACACACAGGATACTGTACGTTTCCTTGATGCTCGAGCGTCGTTTGCAAGGCCACACTTTCGCCGCTGAGCTTGATACAGTAGAGCCATTCAAAGATAAGTTTCCAACATGAACTCTAATTTCAAAATGAAGTGTCAATACTGGTAATGTTCAATGGACGGTTGAGATCATGTCGGACGGCCAACAGAGTTTGACATTACAGTCCTGTAGTACTGTAGAGGCTCTACGTGATGTCTCGGCGTCATGACATGCCGGCACGCTCTGATTAACCATACTGACCTGTCAGATCTTATTCTACTGTAGTACTGAGGTAGTACGTAACATTGCACATTTTGTGCAATGTGGACTTTGAAACAAATTGCAACAGTCGTCGAGATTGACGTTTTGACTCAAGTTACAAGCTTTGTACTTGTCAAGTACGAGGTCGATTCTAAGCTAACGTTATTCTTGGGAATATATAGCCTGGTTGGCTTGAACTTGTGGGCATTTTATATCACGCCATATCAAAACGTACCGTAAACTACTTACTGTTCGTATAGTGCCCGTCTCAACTCGTCAAGGGTGGTACAACACCATTTTTCATGTATTAATAGTAGTAATATATGTAAGTTCACGTTACTTTCGGTGTATTTCGTCCGACGCACAACTGATTCACGCCACGTTCTCCAAGCAATCGAAATATTACGCCCCTAAATCGTTGCAGTATATTTCGACTAATATCCGGTACTTCAAGTACAATGTGACCCCACAACCAGTGTATTTCACATGATGTTCAATATATTTCAAATGATGTTCCATGTATATTGATTTTAGATGGAAATCAAGTAAATCGCATGTTGTGGATAGCATTTTGAACTTGTCTAAAGCATAGACATGAGTCGACGTGAATCCTCTACAATCCTACACCTTGTAGCTTGAGTTGTTCTACGGTCAAGCCGAAACCTTGGGTGCCATAGAAGTTAGCGTCTGGTGAACAATTACTAAATACTTGATTTGCATCTTAAATCAAAATACATGGAACATCATTTGAAATATATTGAACAACGTGTGAAATTTACTGGTTGTGGGGTCACATAGTAAGAGCATCTCCAACGGTGTTTTTATTTCTATTTCAATTCGAAGTTACGGATATAGAATAGAAATTCTTGCACTATCCGGAGGGTTTGTTGCTATTTCACGCGAAAATAGAAATTCTGCGAGTCGAAATTTCTAAAAAGTCCGGACAGTGCCAAAATAGCAACCGTAAAAACGAAGTTTGACTTTAACCTATGCTTTAGCAATAGGTTAGAATTTACCGTTGGAGATGCTCTAAGATACTTGAAGTACTGAATATTAGTCGAAATATACTGCAACGATTTAGGGTCTGGACGAAATATATCGATTGCTTGGCGAACATAACGCGCATAGCATATACCAGAAACAACCTGTAACGTTAGTACTGAAAATCAAACTCTGACAGACCGGCCACTTACATTTTATGAATGTCAGGTGGTCGTAGTTTGGGAGGTAAAACCTCCTGAGAGCAACTTCCCCCCCATGAGACCATGGGATTTATTCCGATTCACACTCTGACTACATGTAGCTGCTACGAGTGCGGCATCAAATGAAACCCACGTGACGACTATCCCATCACATTCAAACGAACGTTTGAGTAAAATCTATCATGTCGATGCGCATGGCGCAGTTCGACGCCGTAAATTATCTCACTCGTCACTAAAAAGTGGACACACCTTTGAGCTTATCGATTACTAGTATAGTATCATAGCATGCGCATTCTCATACCATGAGCCAACTGTGACTTGAGCTCTAACAAAACAATCTACGTGGTACTCACTCATTCGTTCATCCTGCTGATGCCTCCATCACCGCCCTCAGAATCGGGGCGACTTGGTTGTCGATGCGATGTTAAGGGCTGTGGCGGCGGTGTTAGCAGGGTGGACACATCAGCCATTTGACGTAGGACTATAACAGTCGATGGCGTTCACAGGTCCAATTAAGCATCGACAGGGGTTATCGTACAAGCGCACGGTTCACTGTATTTTTTTCAAGATATTCCGAGCTTTTGATTGGTTATCACCCCAGATTATCCGGCTAACGCAATCGTTCACGCTTTCCGGCATAACGATGCGAGTTTTGATACGTGGATGGTCCATCCACGCCTGGGATAGTCAGTTCATGTCTGACAGTGATCAATTTTCTGAGGCACGTCTAATTCCTGAACTCTTTCATTATCTACCAATTAGATAGCTTAAATGGAAGGTCATGCCATGTGATTGGATATGCTAATATTCAAGTCTGTAATATTACAAAGTGATACTATTCATAAAGTTTGCATCATATTTTTGCACAATGCCAATAAAAATGTCCTCGTCACATGAAACAGTAATCTTGGTTCCACAGCCTGGATTCAAACCCATGAAGGGGATACAGATTCGATCTGCAAAGTGAGGTGGGTAAGTGAGGACGGGTATCGCTACATGTTCGGTACCCCAAAATGCGCTGACGCCTTTCGACGAGTAGTTGTGAATTTAAAATAAACTTTTGTATTATATTATTACCAAAATTTAATCAGGCTAACTTACATGGTGTCTAATAAAACCAATTGACGATGATAAAATATTGAAATTTTATTGTGAATATAAATACTATTATTAGAACATTAGTGTGGTTCGCAGCAGAAAATTGATTCGGCTGAAAACTCGTTTCAATTTGTTCTTCTATACCAGTATTTCAATTGCATACACATCACAATCGTCGGTAAAACGAGCATCTCTCACCATTAAAATATGCCCCAGGAATTATATCTGGACACCATACACGCAAAATCTGTTAATTCGAATTAGTGGCGAAGCGATGGCTTTGGATAAAATGGACGCAAATCAGACCAAAAATGGTTCTGGAAATCGATGCACTACCTTATTACTGTATGTCCTGTGGTGATTGGTATCACACTAATTGAAGTCACACACTAATTTGATGTTGATTATGGAATCCTGCAATCTGATTGGCTAAATCCGCCGACTTTTGGTTGTGTCAATTGATTCTCAACAACGCTCCAGATTAGAATGAGCACAACAATGCTACGTAGTACACTACTAGTACTACTCTCACCAACTAATTCAAAAACATCGTTGACTTATTACATAGATACTGCTGATCTTCTGGTAACCTTAGCCACATACTCGTGCCACATATAGAGACAATTGCAACTTCATGACTTCACTATTATCGCCGTCGTAACCTACAACATTAATAGTAGCTAGCCCCTTTACTAACAGTAAGGAAATCACTGGAGGCACTGTTGGTTGCGCTTGCTCTAAGTCTTCCCCTTATTCTAAAACTGACCACAACTACGTAGTACGCACACATAGTAAAGCACCGGTGAGTATTCCGACAAGATACTTATTCCGACACTCGATTCCGATAACGACTCTATTGGCTAGTTGCCGCTGCCAGTTTGTATTATATACCCAACAACATCTCCGAAAAGTCTAAACAAAAACAACCTCACAACTTGAGGGGGGCGTCCACGTATTGCGTCAGCTTTTCATCTTCGAGCCACTTGGCATTGAACAATTTGCTGCGATAGCGGTCACCTCCGTCGCATAACACTGTCACAATTGTGTGGCCAGGGCCGAGTTCGCGAGCCATTTTCACAGCCCCAACCACGTTCAACGCGGCACTTGGACCCACAAATAGCCCTATCATATCGATCAATACCTCGATTCCCTTTAAATTAATATATATATATACTCGATTCCCTTTAAATTAATATATATATAAATGTCGAACCTTCGTGGCGCAATAGATAGTACACCATCTGAATGATTTCCGCGTTGGTGCCAAAAATCCCGCGATCAATCAACCCAGTCTTAAAGTTGGGTGTCACCCGAGCCAACCCAATGCCTTCGGCGACCTAAATATATCCAGTCAGATCCTCAACTATTCCATCACAAAGACCATATTTTGAATTGTTCACAAGCCATATTTTTAATTGTACATACGCCATATTGATTTGTTCACAAGCCATATTTTTAATTGTTCAAAAGCCATAATTTTAATTGTTCACAAGCCATATTTTTAATTGTTCACAAATCATATTTAATTGTTCACAAGCCATATTTATTTGTTCACAAGCCATATTTTAAATTGTTCACAAGCCATAGTTTTAATTGTACCGTGGAGCCGTCGCGTTTTGGAATGTACTCAAACCCATCGGGACCAACTTGACTTTGTTTGGTATTGACATAGTCAGACGACGCGCCTCCTTCGATGGGGTCGATATGCCAAACTTGAATCGCCGAATTTTTTTCTTTCAGAAACTTGGACACGCCACCAATAGTTCCCCCCGTGCCTATATATTTATACAAAAAAGGTTATCATGTAAAATATATTTGTAGAATATCTATTGTCCCATCGATTCGAAACTGGAGCCTCCAACATAATCGAATGTGTTAAGAAAATGTGAATTCATGAACCGCCAATCAAATCACATTCTGGTGAATTTCTGCCAATCCAATGTTCGCATTTGGCAAACCTGATCTATACTAAACATTGTACAGTACAGCTTAAACAGGAATGCTATTGGCTACTTGACTCAAAATGCCAAATTCGGTTGAAATGCTCTATATATATATACCTAGATACAGTAGACGATCTCAGCCTAGTCAAAGGGTATATATGGTATATCTATCTATATACGCCATTCAACAGCATCAACCTCTCTGGGTTTGCAATACAATTGTGAATCAAATGTGTACCACCACCAATAGAACTGAACGAAAAGCTAACAACCAATGAAAGCGATTATTCGTGTAGGTCAACCATTACACCATATACACCATATACACTATTACACTATTTCGATACACTCTATGGATTGATTGTACCTGAGGCCACAACAAAGCCAGTGACGTGGCCAGCCGTCTGCCGCCAGATTTCCGGCCCCGTGCCAACGTAATGCGCGCGACTGTTGGCAATATTTTCAAACTGATCCGGACCAAAGCACAGCGGATCGGAAGCCACAATACGCTTGGCTAGGTTATAAAAGTGCTGGGTGTCGGCCATACCCACGCCAGGCTGGACGTGCACCTCGGCGCCTAGTACCTAACGCCAGTGACCAAGTCGTCGGTATTTCTGGGGTCTTACTTTCATGAGGTCGATCTTTTCGGCCGAGGTTTTGTCTGGCATGGTGAAGATCGTGCGGTAGCCCTTGGCGGCGGCCACAATAGCTAGCCCCACGCCTGTGTTGCCACCGGTGGCTTCGACTACGATACCACCGGGCTGAAGCTGGCCACTGGCCTCGGCGTCCTCGATCAAAAACTTGGCGGCTCGGTCTTTCACGCTACCACTGGGGTTCATAAACCTATGGATCAACTACATTAGTTGATGGAGTGGAGGGAGAAGAGTGGTGGTAGTGGTGGGCAGTACTTACTCGGCCTTGGCCAGGATGCGGCAGCCCGTGAGGTTGGACAGGCTTTTGATCTCCAACAATGGTGTATTGCCAATGGCGTCCACAATAGTCGTGATCTGTTCTTCAGGAGCTTTGAGATGCCGCTCAAAGTATACCCCAGCGGCACTGCCGGCAGCCACCAAGGCCACCCCTGGCACCACACGCTGCAAGAGCTTACTCATTGGGTTTTTTCACTTCTGAGGTGCGAGTGGGTCCGGATACTGGACGGGATGATATCCGGATGAAAAATTCCTAATCTGTGTGAGCTGATTGAAACGGCGAGGAGAGTTACAGTTTATTGGCGCCAAAACTCGACCCAACTTCAAAGTTTATCTTGTGTGGTAGTACAGTGTATGGTCGACTGTAAGATAGGTATCCTACAGTATAGACGTACTAGTAACGTTATACTTCCTCTGTCCCACATTAATATGCCTTACGAGTTGTCATCGACCCCGAAAATTAATGTGTTAACCAAATTCGATGCATGATATCATTTTAAAAAGACAATAAAAAACTACAGGTACCATGCATTGGATGGTAATCGCCGAAGCAATTTCTTCGCGCCCAGAATGAACATCGAATTTCCACCAACCGAATAAAATTACACCAAATATTCAAAATCGTATACCAAATAATACTTCATATGTTAGAATTGAAACCAACACACTTGAATTTGCCGCCATGGTCAATCAAGCCCCCAGCACACGTAAGGACGTCTCCAGCAGCAAGAAGGCTGAAGTAATCCAACAACTTTATCACTTTCTTGTGAATGGCAAGTTAGTCCGTGGCGCATTCAAAAGAACAGCTGAAATGCTCGACATCGAACGCCGCAGTGTCGCCTATATCTGGGACACGTTTTGTACCCCAGGTACCCTGAAGTCCAACAAGTGCGCCAAGGTTGGTCCTAACCCCAAGTACTCCCCCGATGACATCCGGAACCTCGTACGTGATGTTCCCATGGACCAGCGATCGACCACGAGAGACATCTCCACTACCACTGGTCTCTCCAGGGGTACACTCAGCCGCCACCTGAAGATAGGAACCTTTGTTCGTCGGTCGACTCGAATAAAGCCGCTCCTCACGGACGCCAACAAGGCAGAACGCACAGCATTTTGCGGCCTTGCCGCCGCCGGTGAAGCCGGTTTGCCCGAAACCGTCGAATTTGAGATCCTATGGGATGTGGTCCATTTGAACGAAAAGTGGTTCGA